TTCTGTGTCATCTCTGAAGCCATCTAGTATGGGACAGAAAGAAGAAAGAATTTAGGAAACAATTTACTTTTTCCCATAAATACTTTTGTTTCTATCATGCCTTTCATTGAATATATGTCTATATGAATGATGTCTAAGTTTTCTACAATAAACAATAAATTTTCCTGTGGTAATCTTTGAGGTTTCCAGGAAGACAATGAGGCCCCACAACAATGACTCCACCTGTTTGATATGACATCATGATGCTGATTGCACTACTTTAAGACTAGTTTTGGGTACCAGCTGCCCAAGATGATTCCAACTTGGTTAGCTGAAATGGTGCACCTTCCACAACATTCTGGCCAGAACTCCAAATAAGAACTTCAGAAAAACCCTATTGACTATTCAGAAACTATTTGCAATTATACTAGACAGTAATCTTGAAAGCTAATCATCATTTTAGTGTTACAGGATCCCATAGAAATAGCATTGTCCCCATGACAATTGAAAGTAATTCTAGAAGACTACATCCCCTCTCCTAGCAAGGTTTGTTCTCAGGGTTAGGGACATCTATTAAGGGCTGATTACAAGTGGTATAGGGTTGGGGGTTGGGTAGAAATTATATAGGTTCAGGAATCTCTTTGGAAGAAAAAAGGAATTGGATAGGATAATAGGTAGATTAGTGTGTACTTACTCACACTAATAATAATAGTGGGTAATAGAGTGAATACTTGTGAGCTATTATTTATAGACAATTTATATTGGTATAGATTCTTGTATATTGATACAAATTCAAATTTTATTTGTTATATTGGATATGCTTCTATTCCTGTTTACAATAGTTGTGCACCTAGGCAAAGTTATTTTGTCATATTGTATGCATGCATGTTTCTACCTCTGCTTAAGATATTTTGTATACTGATGCAGTTTTAGGATTTATTTGTCATTATGCACTAGACATTTCTACCTCTGATCAAGATACTTATACACTGTTTACATTTTGAAGTCATTGTCCTCATTTTCTGTACAGCTGCTTAAAATCATTTAATATTCTAATAAGAAGCCTTAGTCTTAGGTATTAAGAATTATAGGTCAATAGTCATCCATGTTTGTCATACATATAGTTAAACTAATCAGGTTCTTTAGATACATAGAGATCGTATTTCACATAGATAGGTAATCTTCAACCACTTCAAAGAACTGTAGAAGATGGCATTCAAATAATTTAGGGTTTATTAAGTATATCTCCTGGCCAACAAACCTCTCCACCGATGCGAATAATCCCAATCACACCAAATTAGACCAAATTAAAAGATGCTCATGTTTAATGGATGACAGTACTCCTGGGTGGCCCCAGGAAAATAGAAAGGAAAAGAGGGAAAAGGGGAGACCACAGGGAACCAGGAGACCACATGCTCATTCTCTGGGGGCAAGTGCATATAGCCTGTGGGAGTGGTCTTAACCTTGCCTGGGGAGGGGTCACCATTTGGCAGGCTTTCTCAGAGGTGGAGTTTGGACTGAGGCAACTCCCAGGGGAGGGAGCTTATGCCAGGATCTGGAATGAAGCTGGGGTGAAGCCCCCAGCTAAATAATCCAGATTTTTTGTATAAAGGGTGCCAGGGAGCTGAGGTGATACTTTTAACTAAACAGGGTTCTGTTGATGTGAGACACGCTTGCTCCTGGAATCACTGATCTAGTCCTGAGAGAATGCTAGGCACTGAAGACACTCCACTTGGAGCTTGCTCTCTGCTTGGCAAAACTAGCCTTTGGGCAAAGAACTGTGATGTAGGCTTTCCCTCTGTATGCTGTGATTGCCATTAAGGAATAAAGAAACTGCTTTGGACCTATAGGAGAGCAGAACTTAGCCAGGTAGGGAAAACTAAGGCAAATGCTAGAAGGGAGAAGGGCAGAGCCAGAGAGAAGCCATGGAGCTGCCAGAGACAGACGTGATGCTGGGAACTTTACCTGACAAGCCACAGCCACGTGGCACTATACAGATTAATAGAAAAGGGTTAAATTGATATAAGAGTTAGTCAATAAGAAGCTAAAACTAATGAGTCAAGCCGTGATTTAATTAATACAGTTTCTGTGTGATTATTTCAGGGCTAAGAAGCTGGGAACTAACTTGCGGCCTCCCTCCTACAGAACTGCCCATGCCTCAACCATTGACAAAATGCATGGTATCCAGACTGGACAAGAAGGATACAAGCAAAAAGACTACCAAACCTTACCAAGACAGGGTAAGATGGTTTTGAAATTTTTCCTGGCTCTAAAAATAGTCTGTCAGTTACTCTAGGCCTTAGTCAAAGCTGGTTGTTCCAACGTTGCAAATGAGACTTGGGGTGATTGCCCAGGTAGCAGGTTGTCTCTGTCATTTATTGTACCTTTTGGAAGTTGCTTGATTTTGCTTCATGTTTACTCAAGTACTATTATTCCTCTTCTCGGGTCTTTGATGGGGTTGAAGACTAGATAGTCATAGTTATTTTCCTCTCATGACTTAGCCAAGCCATTTCTAATATAAGACTTAGACTTCTAAGGATAGGATGACTATTAAAACATTTAGCGGGGCTGGAGAGATGGCTCAGAGGTTAAGAGCACTGGCTGCTCTTCCAGAGGTCCTGAGTTCAATTCCCAGCAACCACGTGGTGGCTCACAATCATCTATGATGAAATCTGGTGCCCTCTTCTGGTGTGCAGGCATACATACAGGCAGAATGCTGTATATATAATAAACAAATAAATCTTAAAAAGAACATTTAGCGGGCTGGAGAGATGGCTCAGTGGTTAAGAGCACTGCCTGCTCTTCCAAAGGTCCTGAGTTCAATTCCCAGCAACCACATGGTGGCTCACAACCATCTGTAATGAGGTCTGGTGCCCTCTTCTGGCCTGCAGACATTCACACAGAATATTGTATACATAATAAACAAATAAATATTTTTAAAAAAAGAACATTTAGCATATGGTTTTTTGTTTGATATTGTTTATGCTGGTTGTCATTCTAATTTTTATACTTGATATTTGTTCTTATTGTATATAGTTTTGTATTAGGCTTAGAACTCTTTTTTTTTTTTCAAGACAGGGTTTCTCTGTAGCTTTGGAGCCTGTCCTGGAACTAGCTCTTGTAGACCAGGCTGGCCTCGAACTCACAGAGATCCACCTATCTCTGCCTCCCAAGTGCTGGGATTAAAGGCGTGCACCACCACCATTGCCCAGCTAGAACTCTTTTATTTAGACAAAAGGAGGAGGTGCTGTGAAAACTCCTTCAGTCAACAGCCTTTAAGGAACTGGCTCACTCTGGGCGTGGCCACATGTATACACAGATGTAGAAACGTGTGCAGTCCTTTGGCTGCTGGATTCAGTTCCTGTTTCCTGATCATGCAGAGGACTGCTGATCTGTGAGTCTATTCCTAAATAAAGAGACCCTTATTATACTCCATTCTGAGCTAGTGTGGGACTACTTTATTATAATCGACTACATCTGGACCCTTATACAACCATTTCTCTGCTTCCTAGCTGTGGATGGGATGAGACCAGCTGCCTCATGCTCCTATTCCCATGCTTTCTCTGTTGTATTCTCAATTGTGAGTCAAAAGAAGACCTTCCTTTCCTCCTCAAGTAACTGTTGTCAGGCATTTTGTCACAACAATTGAAAGAGAAAAAGGATCCCCAAGTTCACAGGAGTCACTGAGTCACACGAGGAACACCCAGCGCTGCCTTTCCACACACAGCCATCCCCTGCTCCAGCATACACACAGCTGGGAGCCACTGGGAGGGCGGCCCCTGTGTGGGGAAGTCCTAGACCAGCACTTGAAGCAGAACTTTTGCAGAAAAGCATTATCTAGACAGAAGAAAGAAGAGAGAGCAGGCAGCGAGAGACGGGGCCGAAGGCCATGAGGACAAGTGTAATTTCAGGTCACTGTTCTTCTGAGGAGACAACAGCTGAAGCAATTGCTACAGATTGAGGAGCAGAGTTCAGATGCTAGCAGCCATATAAAACACAGGTGTGGGGCACACACCTGTGTAGTAGGAGGCTGCTTGCTCGTTCCCAGACACCAAGACCCGAAATAATTACACAGGAACTATATTAATTGCAATACTGCTTGGCCAATAGCTTAAGCATATTTCTAGCTAACTCTTACATCTTAAATTATCCCATTTCTATTAATCTGTGCATTGCCATGTGGTTGTGGTCAACTGGTAAGGTTCCGCCATCCGGCATCCAGCATCTGTCTCCCGTGGTGGCTACATGGCTTCTCCTTGACTCCACCTACTTTCTCTACAAATATCTCTTCCAGCCTGGCTATATTCTGTTAAGCCACTGGTTGAAAGCAAATTCCGTATTAACCAATGGCAATAAAGCATATTCATAGCATACAGAGGGGAATCCTATATCACACCTGTAATCCACACTCCAGACAGAAACACGCGGCAGGAGCTGACAACTTGTTGGTCAGTCAGGCAGGCCTAACAGGTGGCTGTCAAAGAGACCCTGTCTCAGGAAACAGTAGGAAAATTGATTACCCAGGGGCACCTGACATGGTCCTTGGTCACATATTAGCACATGTGTGCACATGCACATACGTGTGTGTGCGCGCACACACACACACACACACACACACACACACACACACACACCACACATTACATCTCAATGAACTCAGCCAGGCTATACTTCTCCAAGGGTTGACTTACATGCTACTGCAGTACCACAGTGACTACCAGCCAGGAAAGGGTGGTTGCCAACACCCAGGCTTATCTTCTGCAAGCAAGTGGCACAAGCGCCAGGGGCACAGACTATCAGTAATTTCAGAGGTGAGCTCTGACGAGAAGATCTTAGGGAGGGTTTCAGAGGGGGCCAGGCTGGTGGCAGCCTGGCTCAGTCCCTGCTCGCCCATCCCACAACCCCCAGCGGCACTGGCACGAACATCCGAGTGCCAACTCTCTATCCTTCTGTCTGAGTCTAGTCACCCCAGACTCAGATGCTAACTGCAGACCCCGAAATGACAGCATCCCGGGCCAGCAAAGGGGACCAGTGACTTTATTGGGGCCCCGGGTTCATGGGTGACTCAGGTGGCTGCATCCACAGGAAGTGCACCACAGCATTGTGCTGAGTCATGAGGACCTCACCCAGGAGGTCTCCAGCAAAGCCTGTTTGCAGCCAGGTCCGTGGAGGGGTTTTCTCTCCCCGTGTGTCCCCAGCAGTAATTCACTGAGGCTGAGGAGGGCACCCAAGTCCTGTAGCTTCCTGTTTCTCTTTCCCTCGGGCCAAAGACGTTTCAGTCAAAGAGAAACAACTTGAGAATAAGTCACAGGTGATGGGTCTGAGGGGACTACAGATGAATCCAAAACGCAGAGAGTGGCCCACCTTAGGCATTGTTCTCTGAGGAGGGCCCATCCCTGGAGCCCAGGGAAGAACTGGGCAAGTCATTGGTGGAGCCCTCTGGAGGACTGGACTAGACATTGTTAGCTGGGGCCTTGTACCACAGGTGGGCCCCTCCCAGCAGAAGCAGCAGGGAGCTGAGCCAACCCAGGTAGAGTGAGACTCCCATCCTGGTTTCCATGAGTGACAGAGAGAGAGAGTTGCCGTGGATAACATTGTGTGTTACCCAGTACACAGACACCAGCAGCAGCACACCCAGCCCCAGGAACAACACACTTGTGGCCACCGTCATCTTTTCTTGAGTGCTCGGATTCGGCACATATGTCCTGTCTCCCCGGTACCTGTCCAGCAGCAAACCCATCCAGGTGATGATGATGCAGGTGACCACCAGAACTCGAGACACCTGTATGTCCCGTGGTAGTGTAGTGTGTGAGTATTTCACACACTGTAGGATCTCAAGCCCTTGAGCCTCACACACGTCCCACAGCCCTTCCCAGATTATGATCTCTTCGGAGACTTTTGTACCACGCCAGAAGGGTAGGGCACAGCAGATAATGGTGACCAGCCAGCTCAGCCTGACCAGAGATATGCTGACTACTTCCAGTTGCCGGCGAGCCATGGCTTATTGTCTGCCGGACACGGGACACAAAAGAGACAGGGGATCTGGCTGTCAGATGCAGAATTCAAATGACTGAGGATGAATTTTCAAAGTGTCCATAGTGAGCTGTCCTGAGAACCAGCAACGGAAATGAGAGTCGCTATGACGTCAGACACACCACCAGCAGGCATGTCCTCAGCAACAATCCAGGGACCTGTGAAATAGATTAAGCTTGTATGAGGTTTGGAAGAGGGAGGGGCAGAGGGAGGAGATTCAGTGCACAGGCTTCATGTGATCAGATCTCTGTACTTTTTTTCCATGTTTGTGTGTGTGTGTTCATACACATATGGGCACAAGACTGAGGAAAAATCTCTGCTGCCATTTTTAGGAATCCTGTCTACCACCTTTGAGAGGAGGTCCAGCATCACCTGGAGCTAATCAGTTGCCTGGAATAGCTGACAAAGGTCCTGCAGAGGCAGGTGACAAACCTTACAGCTCCCTAAGGCCATCCTAGTATACAGACTATAATAATGAGTTGGAAGTATCACCACAGCCTGCCAAGTACTTGTACTCCAACTCCCAGCCTGCCATGCGCTAACCCCTCCCCAGGAGGGTCAGGACTCCGAAGGCTCTTTAGGCTCATGCCAAAAAAGGAACACGTGGTTTTTGAGTTTGCATGGGTTCCCCCTCTGTCTCTCTCTCCCTTGCCATGCTCTCTCGGCCACCCGGGAGTGTGCCATTTATGAAACACGGGCATTTTAATTTGGTCTAATGTGGTTTGATTTGGAGTTCTTTGTGCCAATGGAGAGACTTTTCTTAACACAGACCTCTAGGGGGTTCTGAGGACACAATACAGAAAAGGGGCAACGGCAGTTCCACACCACAGAGGGACCTCCCATGGTCCATGCAGGGCTATAGCTGATGGGATGTTCCATCTTGTCAACTCAGGATGTAGAATCACCATAAAATCAAACCTCAGGGAATATCTGAGAGAATTCCTAGACTTGGTAACTGAGGTGAAATACAACCCAGTAGACAGCGCCATCCTATGTGGTTTGGAGTTTCAGCTGAGTGGAAGGTATAAAGGGAGCTGAGGGCCAGCATCACCTCTCTCTGCTTCCTGAGTGTGGATGCATTGGGACCACTCGAACTGAGGGCCAGCATCACTCTGCTTCCTGAGTGTGGGTGCGATGAGACCGCCTGCCTCATGTTCCTGCCCAGTGCCATCTCCACCATGATGGGCTGCGTCCTGGGAGCCAAAGAGCCCTTTCTTTCTCAGGTTGTTGTGTGTCAATGTTTTATGACAGCCAGAGGAAGCAAACTGTCTGGCAAGGTGGTGCACACCTTTAATTTCAGCACTCAGGAGGCAGAGGCAGGTGCATCTCTGTGAGGCCCAAGCCACCTTGGTGTACAGATTGAGGAGTGGGCCAGCTAGGACAGAGTAACACTGTCAGAGGGGAGAAGGGAGGGAGAGAGAGAGGGAAAGAGGGAGGGAGGGAAGGATGGAGGGAGAGAGAACGTGAGGAAGAGAGAGAGAGAGAGAGAGAAGAGAGAGAGCACTCAGGTACCCTAGAATGCTAAAACATGATCTGAGCTGAGCGCAAGGATAAACAAACCCAACATGTAAAGAGAGGCCCACCTTCTGCTCTCCTCCTGGGTGGAGGAAGGTAGGACACTTGCTAGGACTGAGCAATTCTTTCTCATTTGGGGTCTTCCACAAGCACAGGGCTCCTCCAAGCATCAGCAGCACAGAGCAGGACCAGCCTGGAAGGAGCAATACACCCAGCTCTGCTTTCTGCATGGAACCCAAAAGTGGATTGGGGCAGCCATAGATGAAGCTGTGCTTTCTCCTGGACACGGACACCACCGGCTGCAGGCTGGCACCAGGATCAAGGCGCCCACCCTCCTTCCAATCATGGCATCAGTTCTGTCATTAGAAAATCATGATTGCACACAGCCTCAAATGCACACAGAGCAAACCCATTCCATCATACAGACGCCCATGAGGACCTGAGACACCTGTGGGCCCTAGGCTGATGTGACCCAGTAGCCATGGTCCTTACACTGCGTGTACATTGTCTGTGACGCCGGTACGCTTGTCATAGACCCCACCTAACATCAGATTCTAGCTTTGCCTCCCATTCAGGAAATACTGTCTGTCACCCTTCAAATTGCAGGACACAGCTCCAAAGGGCCACCAGTCAACCCTTTCTGACCACAGAGACGCTGACCCACTGCACTGCCTTGAGTCCATGGCTCAGAGTCACAGCAGTTAGGGTGGGGAGGCAGTGGGGATTTGGGCTAAGCTGCGGGATCCCAAAGACTGATGGTGGGGTATCGGAGGGGTCCAAAGAAAGCCTTTCCCTGGAGGCAGAGAGACACAAAAGCAGACAGAGACTCCATCCGCACCAACGGTTACCTCTGTAGAAGCCGATGTCCACGCCAGCAGAGTGTAGACAGCAGTTGACACAGATGTCTGGTGATATAGATTGAGGGTGTATGAGGCTATGACCTGGGGTGGGGCACAGGGAGGAGCTTCAGATAATGTGGCCTCAGAACCAGTCTATACGGTCTTGTCTTTTTTTTTAAGTATATGTGTGGGAGTGTGTGTGTGTGTGTGTGTGTGTGTCTGTCTGTCTGTCTGTCTGTCTGTGGGTGCAAACCTAGACGGGGTGTACATGTGGAGACCAGAGGACCACCTCTGCCATTATCCTCAGGATACCATCTGTCTCCTTTAAGACAAGGTTTCTCATTGGACCAGGGCTCCCCAGCTACACAAGGCCTTCTGGTCAGGAAGCCTGTCGATCCGCCTGTCTTTAGATTTACCATCACAGCGTGTGTGTACTGCTTTTCTACCAGGGTTCTCAGACTGATCCCAGGTCCTCCCAGCTAGACACCCAGCCATGGGTGCCTATATTCTGAGCCCAGGACAGCAGAGTCCCCTGAAGTCCCCAATCCAGAGCAAAAGAGTTGAAAGAAACTCCTTTCTTCCCTCACAGATACACACACTGAATACAACACATCGATATAACTATATTGTTTAGAATGATAATATATGGATTGGATGGGTAGGTGGGATGGAGGGTGGAGATCGGGGAGGGTCCGAAAAAATAAAAATAAATAAAAATTTAAAAAAAGAATGATAATATATGGTTTAACAGGAAAGAGCATGTCTACTCCAAATTGATGAGTCCAGGAGGAGACAAGGTGACAATAACAGCCTGACTTATCCCAACTTCCCTCAATAGCTCACAGCCACAAATGCCCAGGACGGAATCGGTGACCATTCTCTGGCCAATGGGTTAAAACAGATGGATCAGCACAGTTGTTAGAAGGTACTACTAGATTCACACTGCCAAGTTCTCTGTCTTCCCTCTTCCCAGCTTCTGTTTTCAATAGCACCCTCTTGTAACATAACACAGGTCAGCTTTGAACTCATGACCCTCCTGCCTTAACCTCCACAATGACGATTCTCGGGTGTATACCATCAAGCCCAAAGCTCTCCCTTTGTCCTGTGGTGTCCCAGCATGATGAGTTGACAGACTGGGCACCGAGGCTTGGGAGCAGAAAGTGACAGAGAGGAACAGTGACATGACTGGGTCCCTGATGGCATCACTGAGCCCCAGACTACATTGGATAGTCTCAGTTTTCCACACTGGACCTGAGCGTGCTTCCTCCTTTGAGCCTGCTATGCACCGTTCTTGAATTGGAGTGGAAGCTGATGGTGCCGCCCACATCCTCACCTCACACCCATTAAGTAGGACAGACTCCAGTGTGGAGTGTGGATGCTGCTCTCTGAAATCTGGGTTTCCTCACAGCCTGCAACACTTCCCACACCGAATGTGCTCTGGGCAAAAAACAAAATAAAGAGACTATCTAAGGTTAAGGTCTAGTCGGTATTCTCCCATCTGCCCCACTTCTCCTTCGGAACCTCTCAAAAACCAGCTATCAACAGAACCGAATGTCCACTGCTGTGGTCGTAGTGTGTTGGTGCAAGCATCTGTGCAGAGATACTTGGTAGCAGAGCCATCTCTCACTCTGAGCCACTGAGCCTCATGGGTAATGGCTCTCTCTGACACACTGAAAGTCCATCTTTGCCAGGCAGTGTTGGTGCAAGTATTTAATCCCAGCACTTGGGAGGCAGAGGCAGGTGGATCTCAGTGAGTTCGAGGCCAGGCTGGTCTACAGAGGGAGTTCCAGAACAGAAAAAGAAAGAGGGGGGGAGGAAAGGGAAGAGAAGGGGAGGGAAGGGGAGGGAAGGGAA